TTATAAACTGTTCCTCAGTGATGGTCAAGATTCTCCTCCACCGTATTCTGAATATCCTCCATATTCCCACCAGTATCGGAGATCCAACACCATGGGCGGATTCTTTCCCCCAGGCTTTAAACCCGAGTTTACAGGTATGTTTCTATAATCAGAAACAATAATTGGGGTAAATGTGAGGTAGTGTGCCTTTTGTTGGTTTCTGAAATAGAAAATGATTGTATTAGGAAACCAAAGCAGGTTTGCTTTCTCACTTCTTACTTTCAACATCTTTTACCCCTTTTGTTGGACTTCTTTATACAAAGTACATTATGATTATTGTGAACATGTAGTGTAAACAATTGAAATGCCTTTGTTTTTGTAGACTGAGTTATATTTAAATGAGGCTACATAATGAATACTTTTTATTTGAAGGATCAGGGAGTACTGGGCATGGTGAAACTTCTGGTTTTGGCAATGCTTTCACAGGACAGCAAGAATACAGCAATTCAGGACCGGGCTTCTGGACTGGACTGGGAACTGGAGGACTATTAGGATATATGTTTGGCAGCAGCAGGTAAGCTTTTAATTTATGTGACTTGGTTATTAATTCAACTTTTCTCTAGAGGCTTCTTTTTTTTACCTAAGAAAAAAAATTACGGTGGCCTTGGCCTCCTAGGTCTGGTTCTGTTAGGAGGAGATGTGGGAATCAGTTTTCAGAGATGCCCTGAGTGACTTCTGTTGATAACATAACTCCTTTGGTAGAGCCTTAGAGCAAACTTTCATCAGAGGCAAAAGGAGCTAATGTTCTGGCTAATCTAGATATAAAGACACTGTTTCTCATTTGGTTCTTGAGGCAGTAATGAGTTTTTAAAAAGCTGCCCAGAGTGTTACCTTCATTTTTTTCTCCTTTTCTTTGAAAAATCAATCTTTTAGTGTTATAGTAAATTCCAAGTTCAATTGGAAGGTAGAATTTTTAAATTTGCGTCACGGATAAACACATTTTTAGGTTGAATAAGTGACAGTAAAAAGGTAGGTTTATTTTATTTCATGTGTCATAAAAGTTATATTATAGGTACCGATCAATATTATATATATGATTTTCTTTAAATTTCTTCCTATGGCATTCTCATTGAAACTATGAGGTAGAATCTCGTTTATTAACTTATTTGATGTCAGTGAATATGAGAAGGCAAGAAAGCATATATTTGGACAGTATTCTGTTTTAGTGTGAGAATGATAAGAACAGGGGTAGATAGAGCTTGGAGTAAAATTTTGGAATGTTTTAAGTATTTAGTTTGGTTGAGTTTAAATTTTATTTGAATAGAAATTCAGAAAGCACTTACCCTGGCACATTCTTGTCCTGTGGCAGTGACCACATCAGTAACAGAAATGGAAAAACAGTAATCCTGATAGACAAGCATTCAGAAAAAAAAGCACATACTAGGAGATTTTGTTTTTTCTCTGATGGTTTAGGAATAAGCATATATTTAAGAATTATAGCTACAAGAAAAAGACATACTCATATTTTTAAATCTTTCTTTAGAACAGCAACACCATTTTATGACTCATGGCGTTATCCATCTTGGCCTCGGTCATACTACTCCAGCACATGGAATAGTCGTGCTTACTCACCATTTCGTGGAGACTCACAAACAGGAACCAGAACAGCTTCAGGTAAGAACAGTCAATGTAGAGGTTCCTTTTCAATCTCTATGCTGAGCAAATAATTCACAAAGCTTGACTCTCATGAAGAATATGGCATAAGAGTGGAGGAAGATTCATTAACAACCTGCTTTACACAGATTATACAACTTCACTGAAAGTGAAGAGGAATATGAAAACACTTGCTGAAGAAGATCAAGGACTACAGCTTTCTTTATGGATTTCATCTAACATCAAGAAAACAAAAATCCTAACTATAGGACTAACAGTCAACATTGTGATAGCTAGAGAAGGGATTGAAGCTATCAGTGATTTCATCTTGCTTGGATCAACAGTTAACATCCTTGCTACAGCAGTCAGGAAATTAGGAGATGTATTACATTGGGCAAGTCTGCTGTCCTTGTCCTTCTGACCTCTCCAGAATGCCAAGGAGCAATGATGTAAGTTTGAAGATTAAGGTATGCAGGATTTAGGTCATGTTGTTGTTGTTATGTGCCGTCGAGTCGCTTGCGACTCATAGCGACCCTATGTACAACAGCCCTAAACTGTGCTCTGTCCTGTGCCAATCTCATGGCCCCTGACACACCCATCCCGAGTACCACAGTCACTGAATCAATCCACCTCATAGAGGGTCTTTCCCTCCTGCGCTGTCCCTCCACTCTACCCAGCATGATGTCCCTCTCCAAAGACCTGTCTCTCCTTACAACATGTCCAAAGTATGTCAGGCGAAGCCACAGAATCCTTGCCTCCAAGGAGCAGCCTGGTTTAACCCTCTCTAGGATGAATCTGTTTTCTTAGCAGTCCATGGTACATTCAGTACTCTTCTCCAGCACCACGGCTCAAAGTCATCAATTCTCCTTCTATCCTCCCTAGTCATTGTCCAACTCTCTGATGCATAACAAGTGATTGCAAAAACCATGGCCTGTATCAGGCGCACCTTAGTCTCTAGAGAGACACCGTTGCTCTTGAGTATTTTGGAGAGATCCCTAACCGCAGACTTTCCCATCGCAATACGTTTTTTTATTTCCTGGCTACTGGTGCCAAGCGTGTTGACCGTGGAGCCGAGCAAACTGAAGCTGTGAACAATCTCAATCTCTTCGCCATCCATCCTGATGCTACCGATTGGTCCAGTGGTGAGAATTTTTGTCTTCTTGACATTGAGCCTCAGTTCATATTGAAGGCTGCAGTCCTTGACCCTCTGCAGTAAGTGCATGAGGTCCTCCTCAGTTTCAGCGAGCAGGGTTGTGTCATCTGCATAACGCAGATCGTTGATAGATCGTCCACCAATCCTAACGCCATGCCTCTCCTCATAGAGCCCCGCCTCTCGGATAATTTGCTCTGCATACAGGTTGAAAAGGTATGGAGACAGGACACATCCCTGGCGTACACCCTTCCCAATTTTGAACCATGCAGTGTTGCCCTACTCTGTTCTGACGACTGCCTCTTGGTCCAAGGATAGGTTTGACAGTATAACTTGACAGACAAGTGCTGTACCAACTGGAACAATATTTTTCCCAAATACAACTACCAATTTGGTTTGCATCTCTAATAACAACCCAGTCTTCACACCGGCCAGTGGGCTCCAGGCTTTTTAATCACAAAGTCCTGCCCACTGGGCCCTGATTGGTTTGCACAAGAGGCTTCCAGCCCACAACTGATTATTATATCCAAAAGACCGGTCTGCTTCCTCCTATTAGAAACGGACTGCTTCAGACAAGGAGCTACAACAGGGGAGAAAAAGTCTGTAACTCTCCCCCACATTGCTTCTAATCGTTGCTGGCGTTGTGGGGTGAGAGGTCATCGTTTGTGCTCCATCAGCTTCTGCCTTTTTGACTTGGGCCTGAAAAGTGTATTACCTGTACTGTTGTCTCCATTATAAAACACACATTTGGTTTTCTGACAAAAAGTTAAATATGCATTAAAAATATGTTAATATAGAAGGGATGAAGTGTAATAAGCAAGCATGTCTGATAATGTAAACTTTGTGATAATTGAGAGGGTTATTAGGTGTTGTGAGGAAGCTTGCATTATGTCCTTTATAACTGTTCCTATGGGCAGCTTATTCTTTCCTCATTTTATATTCTCTTAATTTACTAACAGTGCAGGTAGGTGTATTACTCTTGTAATTTTATAAGCAATTTTTATATATTTGGAAGCAACTAATGGACATTTTACTCTTCTCGTTCTAGGTTATGGTGGTACCAGAAGACGATAAGAAAGAAAAGTTTCCTGCCTTTTCATAATTTTATCTCTCTCTCAAAAAAAGTACTACCTGCTAACAGCTAAGGAAGAGAGATAATAAAAATTTCTGTGATATTTTGTCCTGTATAGCTTTTTGTATTATTTGAGGCCAAGAGTTGATAATGTGACAAAATAGTAATGTATAGAAATGTGTGTGTAAATGTAACATGCAGATGTATATTGCAGCTTATAATAGTGCTGATGGTTCTGGAGTGTCCGAAATATGTGGTTTAACTTCTAAAACATATGATACCAAAAGAAGCATTCAAAGTGAAGATTTTATGCTGAGTACAGAACATTTCTGTCTTGAGGATTTAGTTGATGAATCAGTACTTCCAAGGTAATAGTGACAGTTACTCTATTTGGTACCATGGTTTGCTGTTCTTCAAACATTTAAACAAGCTTTGGATTACTACATATACTAACTTGTGGGTTTTGACCATCTGATCTCAATCACCTTGAATCCGTCCGTTTTGGCTGTGGAGGTAGACTTTCGGCAAATGAGAATTAATTTAAAAGGAGAAAATACGCATCTGGAAGTTATGAATGATTGTACGCTGACAAAATATTCAGCACAGGCTATTTAATAGTAAAAGCATGCAGCTCTTTCTAGAATTTCAAATATTGTAATTGTTTTAATCAGTAAAATGACTGAATAAAAAACCAAACACGAATTCTAGGGTTTGTTCTCATTCCTTTTATCAGCCTTGACACAAATTGGTGGGTTTTATTTTTTAAAAAAACACTTGTTTTTCTCAAAGGAGGACTTAAGCAGAAGTTTTGTCTCTAAGATTTTCTCATGTTAGTCATTCAATGTATTCCCACTATCTTCTTTTAAGATCATTTCCTGGATCGTTCAAGATTTTGCCCATTGCATACCTAAGTGTTTTAACTCGAAGCTTGGGTTTGTTTTTCAGTTCTTTCAGCTTGTGAAATGCCAATTCTAGATCTCTGCACATTTTGTCATAATCTTTTGCTTTGTCTTTCTGAGCAGCCCTTTGTAATCTTTTCAACTTCTATTTCAATATTTTTTTTTTTACTTCTCAACAGTCTAGTCTACCAATTTTTAGGGTCTCTTCTGACATTCAGCTTGGTTTTTTTTCTCTTGTCTTTTTAGTGACCTTTATTGTGATATTTCAGGAAGTACCATGATCAAGAGTCAATGGTAATGAATCAAAAAGTTCAAACTGTACTGAAGACATTGGCAAAAATTAAGGCCCTAGGAATTGATGAAATTCCAACGGACATGTTTTAAATCACAATTGCAGTCTAGGATGTGCTCACCAGTCTGCTAGAAAATTTGGAGGATAGCTTCCTGACTGGAAGAGATCCATATTTTTTTCCATTCTCAAGAAAGGTGATCCATGAGAACGTACAAGTATCAAACAATATCATTAATATCAAATGAAAGCAAAATACTGCTGAAGATCATTGAAAAACAACACTACATAGGGAACTGGCAGAAGTTCAGACTGAATTTAGAAGAGGCCATGGCACCAGGGATGTCATTGCTGATGTCCAATGGATCCTGGCTGAAAGTAGAGAATATCAGAAAAATGTGTTGTTACCCTTTATTGACTGTACAAAGGACTTTGACTATATGGCTCATAATAAATTATGGCTAACATTGAGAAAAGTAGAAATCTCAGAACACTTAATTGTGCTCAAGTGAAACCTATAACTAGACTGAGTCTGTTGTGCGAACAGAGCAAAAGAACACTACATAGTTTAAAATTAAGAAAGATAGGCGTCCCTTTCTCAATACCTATTTAATCTGCTGAGCAAATTAATCAGAACTAGACTCTGTGAAGAAGAATGTAATATCAAGATTGGAGGGAGATTCATCAGTAACCTTTTTTATGCAGCTGAAAACCCTGTTTGCTGAAAGAACTTGAAGCACTTCCTGCAGAAGATCAAAGGAAATAGTCTTCAATATGGATTGCATCTCAACATCAAGAAAACAAAAATCTCACCATTGTGTTGATAGGCAACATCATGGTAGAGAAAAGACTCAAACTATCAGTGACTTCATCTTACTTAGATCTACACTTGATACTAGCAGTGAGGAGGACAGGAGATGTACTACATTGGGGAAGTCTGTAATCAGGGATTTCAAATTGTTGAGCAATAATATTAGTTTGAGGACTAAGGTGCACTTGCTTTGCTTCTGAGAGCTGAACAATGAGTAAGGATGACAGAAGATGAATTAATGCCTATGAGCTGTGATATTACAGAATACGGAATATCCAATTGATGACCAAAATAACAGACAGACATGTCTGGGAGAAGATGTAGTCAGAGTACTCATTGGAGGCAAAGATGATAAACCTTTATCTTACATACTTAGGGCATGTTTGTTAGGAGAGGCTATTTCATGGAGAGGAGAACTAGCTTGGAAAGGTGAAGTTAGGAACCTTTATCTTACATACTTAGGGCATGTTTGTTAGGAGAGGCTATTTCTTGGAGAGGGAGAACTAGCTTGGAAAGGTGAAGTTAGGAAGTGAAAGGGAAGAAACCCCTCAACCAGGTAGATAGTGACTGCAGCAATAGGCTTGAGTGTGTCAGCTGATGAGGATGGCACAGGATATGACAGGGTTCAGATCTATTGTTTTTAGGGTAGCTATGAGCATTCTGCAGCACTATGCAGATGACAACCTTGCTCGCTGAAACTGAGGAGGACCTCATGCACTTACTGCAGAGGGTCAAGAACTGCAGCCTTCAATATGGACTGAGGCTCAATGTCAAGAAGACAAAAATTCTCACCACTGGACCAATCGGTAGCATCAGGATGGATGGTGAAGAGATTGAGAGTGTTCACAGCTTCAGTTTGCTCGGCTCCACGGTCAACACTCTTGGCACCAGTAGCCAGGAAATTAAAAAAACGTATTGCGATGGGAAAGTCTGTGGTTAGGGATCTCTCTAGGGTCCTCAAGAGCAACGGTGTCTCTCTGGAGACTAAGGTGCGCCTGATACAGGCCATGGTTTTTGCAATCACTTGTTATGCATCAGAGAGTTGGACAATGACTAGGGAGGATAGAAGGAGAATTGACGCCTTTGAGCTGTGGTGCTGGAGAAGAGTGTTGAATGTACCATGGACTGCCAAGAAAACAAACAGATTCATCGTAGAGAGGATTAAACCAAGCTGCTCCTTGGGAGTAAGGATTCTGGGGCTTCGTCTCACATACTTTGGACATGTGGTAAGGAGAGACAGGTCTTTAGAGAGGGACATCATGCTGGGTAGAGTAGAGGGACAGCGCAGGAGGGGAAGACCCTCTATGAGGTGGATTGATTCAGTGACTGGGGCACTCGGGATGGGTGTGTCAGAGGCAATGAGATTGGCACAGGATAGAGCAGGGTTTAGGGCCATTGTACATAGGGTCGCTAGGAGTCGCAAATGACTCAACGGCACATAACCACCACCACAACAACAATGAATCTTACTTGAGGACACCCACAACAACATAGGTCATTACTTCTTGTGTACCGTCAAGTTGGAACTGACCCTTACCTGACCATTCTGCAGGTTTTCAGAGGCAATTAATTGCATGAGATGAGATTGCCCATTCTTCTGTAGAGCAGCTGATAAATTAGAATTTTGTGCTTTTGGGATTGCAGCACAGTTTCTTACCATTAGGCCACCAGTGCTTATTTGGCAAATATTTTTAAAAAATGTTTTAAGAATAGTGCAGAAATGTTTGCTAAAAAATTACTAAAAAAAACAACAGAACAACCAAAAACCAAACTAGCCCAACAAAACAACTTTAGAAACCCATCAACTAAGTCAATCTGAGTCAAACTCTTAGAACATGAGAGCTTCAGTTTTACATTTTACATACTAAAAGAGTAAGTTGCAAGACTAGAATTCTTTATTTCCAAAAAATTTTATAGAAATATTTATTAATGCATAAAACAAACTTTTTAGCTTGTTGTCATATTGACCATGCCTCATAGTGACCCTACAAACAACAGATCTGAACCATCCCTGTCCTGTACCATTCTCTTACAGTATCTATTTTGTTCAAGCCTATTTTTACAGTCATTGTGTGCCAGTCTATGTTGTTAGGTGCCATTGGTTCAAGTATGACTCAGCAACCCTGTGCACAACAGACCTGAACCCTGTCCTATCTGCCAACCTCACAATCTCTGGTATATTTGACCCCATTGCAGTCACTGTGCCAATTCATCTCACTGGGGTCCTCCTTTTTTGTTGCTGACCCTTCCTCTACCTTTCCAAACATAACAGTTACACTAAAGTCCGTTAGTGGAAGAAGATGAAGTAAAGAGAATCCAATTTATTGCTTTTCCCTGCTTATTATTTGGGAGTTTTAATGTGGCTTTGCTACAGGAGTTGATAATCTTGTATCAAGTATATTTGACTTGTTATGTGCCATCAACACTATGTACAGCAGCTTCGAAGCCTGCTCTATCCGGAGCCAGGCTCACTGACTGAAACACCTATCTCCATAATAAAATATTTTGTTAATTTAAAGATAAGTAGATGGGGCCATAGAGCATGAGTTTTTCAGTGCTAGAATTCTTACCTCCTCTAAGGGAGACTCTGGGTGGATTCTTGACCTGTGGCCTATCAGGTACAGCCACTGTGCTGCTATGATGATTATCAGATTTAGCAGAGCTTTCAGACCAAGGTGATCTAAGAAGAAAAGCTTGGCAGTCTACCTCCAAGGAGGAAAAACCCTGTAGGTCAAAATGGAACATTGCTAGATCTGCAGCTGGTGAAATTTGCATGAGGAAGTAATCAACAGTAGGGCCATTGATTGTGATATTTGCATTTTAAATTCTTAAATGTCTTAAAACAGGGTGTTCAGAGAACCTTACAAAAATAATGATAAAGAGAATTGACTAAATTTTCATATTACTCTCAAAAGACTATGTTAGGTGCCTCTGAGTTCTGAATTGCCTTGTGTACAATTGGTTTTTTGTTCTCTTCAGAAGGGAACCACAGTCATGCGTAAT